AGAAGGCTAGCACAAACTGGGATACAGATCGAAAGAGCCGAATGCCTCCTGCCTGGGATCCTCCTAAACTACTCATGGTCGTCGTCAGCAGCCTGCACATAGTAGTAGGCACCTCCCGAGTTGTAGTAGTCGCCACGATAGTGGCGTCTGGCTCCTGGACTCCAACGTCTGGTCGCAACAATCGGGTATAGAAAGGGGGGAAAGGGGGAGCAAAGCAACTGTGACTACTCATCCAAAGTACTCGCAAGCAAGGAGCTACACTACATATGTATGCATTGGTATCAAATGGAAAAGGGGTAACATATGTGGACTGAACTGCAGAATGCCGGAATAAGAGGGGGATAGCTAGTCCAATCGAAGACTACGCTTCTGGTAACCTCCATCTTGCAGCAGAAGAAGAGAGTAGATGGTAAGTTAACCAAGTATCATCGCATAGCATATTCCTACCCAGCGATCCTCCCCTCGTCGCCCTATGAGAGAGCGATCACCGGTTGTATCTAGCACTTGGAAGGGTGTATTTTATTAAGTATTCGGTTCTAGTTGTCATAAGGTCAAGGTACAACTCCAAGTCGACCTGTTACCGAAGATCGCGGCTATTTGAATAGATTAACTTCCCTGCAGGGGTGCACCACATTTCCCAACATGCTCGATCCCTTTGTCCGGACACACTTGTCTGGGTCATGCCCGACCTCGGAAGATCAACACGTCGCAGCCCTACCTAGGCACAACAGAGAGGCCAGCACACCGGTCTAAATCCTATGGCGCAGGGGTCTGGGCCCATCGCCCATCGCCCATTGCACACATGCACGTTGCGAGGACGGCCGGAGAGCAGACCTAGCAACCTCCATTACAAAGGAAGTTGCATTACGCGGTCCAACCCGGCGCATGCCGCTCAGTCGCTGACGTCATGAAGGCTTCGGCTGATATCATGACGTCGAGTGCACATAACTGTTCCCGCGTAGTTGGTTAGTGCGTATAGGCCAGTAGCCAGACTCAGACCAAATACCAAGATCTCATTTAGCGTGTTATTTAGAAATAACCGCGGACGCCGACTAGGGCCAGGCCCACCTCTCTCCTAGGTGGTCTCCGCCTGCCCTGTCGCTCCGCCTCATATAACAGTCGGAGGCCGTCGGGAACCTAGGCCCACCACTACCTGGGTGGAACCACCTGCCCCTTCAGCCCCCAACATCGGAATCACTTGCGGGTACTCAACGAGCCGACCCGACTTTAGTCACAACATGTATAGTATGTATGCATAGTATATACCCGTGATCAACACCCGACGTGATCACGGCCCGATAGTATAGCATGGCAGACTGACAAGAATGTAGGGCCGCTGATGATAATCTAGCATCCTATACTAAGCATTTAGGATTGCAGGTAAGGTATCAACAGTTGTAGCAACAATGACGGGCTATGCATCAGAATAGGATTAACAGAAAGCATTAACATGCCACACTACTCTAATGCAAGCAGTAGAGAGAAGAGTAGGCGATATCTGGTGATCAAGGGGGGGCTTGCCTGGTTGCTCTGGCAAGAAAGAGGAGTCGTCAACAGCGTAGTCGATCGGGGCACCAGCAGCGGCGTCAATCTCGTAGTCTATCGGAGAGAAGAGGGGGGAGAAGCAATGAATATAATGCAAACAGACGCATAGCGATGCATGACATGACAAGTAGCGGTGCTAAGGGCGCCCTAACGCGATATGAGGTGGTACCGGTGAAGGGGGGAAACATCCGGGAAAATATCCCCGGTGTTTCGCGTTTTCGGACAGATGAAATGGAGAGGGAAAGTTGCGTGTTCGCGATGCTAGGGATGCGTGGCGGACAAATGGACTGCGTATCCGGATTCGTCTCGTCGTTCTGAGCAACTTTCATATACAAAGTTTTTCCATCCGAGTTACGGATTATTTTATATGATTTTCTACAGTTTAATTGATTTTCTAAATTTATTTACTTATTTAAATCCAACATTATCCAGAACAGTGAATGATGATGCAAGCATGACATCAGAGTGATGTCAGCAGGTCAACTGGTCGATTGACCAGTCAAACCAGACAGATGGGTCAAGTGGGACCCACATGTCATTGTCAAGGGCACTAACAGGGGGGTTAGACTAACTAAATGGGTTAATTAGTGGGTGGGGCCAGTAGTCAGTGAGAGATTAAGGTTTTAATTAACTAATTTAATTAATTAGCAATTTATCTATTTAATTTTTTTCGTTTATGGCGTGGGACCCGCATGTCAGCGCCACTGGGTTGCCTAGTCAGCAGTTGACTGGGTCAACCCAGTCAACGGGGCCCCCAGGACCCACTGGTCAGCGACCCAGGGGCGGGGCCCATCGATCCACGTCGGCAGCGGCGTTTGGGGAGCTCCGGTGAGCGTTCCCGCGGCGTAGGGGCGTCGGACCTTGCCGGACTCGCCATTCCGGCGATCATTTCGGGTGGGGGCGGTTGCTACGGGACGAGCGCAATGTCGCACAACCATCTACGGCCTTAGTTGGGGCGGTGGGTGGCCGGAGCGGCGGCGAGGTCGAGCGGGGATGCGGCGACCGAAGTAGGAGGCGGTGGCGCGGGCGGAGCAGAGCCGCGGCGGAGCAGGGGCAATGGGAGGCGGTGACGGGCAGGGGCTCGTCGACCGGTCAGCCGACGCACGGGCCACGCGAGCACCGGACGGGCTCGGGCGGTGCACGACAGGGTGAGCGGAGGCAGGCGGGATCCGCGGCGGCCAGCGATAGAAGCGGCGACGCGGGCATACGCGAGCGGCGGCCAACAGCGGCCCAAGGCGGGCTCGGACGGAGGAGCGCGATGCGGAGGCGGCTCAGGCGCGAGTGAAGGGGGCCGCAGGGAAGCGCCGGCAGCGGCGGGTTGCAGCAGGCGAGGAGCAGCGGCAGGAGCAGTACGCGGCGGCAGCGGGCAAGGGCGGGTGACAGCGGCGCGCGGGGGTGCATGGGAGCGCCCAGGCGACGGCTGTGGCTAGTGGCGGCAAGCAGCAGTAGGGGCGGAGCAGCAAGCAGAGAGCAGCGCGGCTGCGGCGGAGCTCTACGTCGGTACGGCGAGGGCGCGACCAGGGAGCTGCGAGTGCACGCGCGAGGAGCGGCCAGGGCACTGCCGACACGCGGACTGTGCGCGTGGTGTGGGCGCGGCCATGCCGCGATGCGCGCGAGCTCGCAGAACGCAAGCCTACGGCAGGCGGTGGTTCTAGGGGTCGCGGGAACGATTGCTAAGGCACGTAATTGGAGGGGTAGGAGGAGGGGGAGCACGCGGTGCTCACCGCCGTTGCTGGGAAGGCCCGAGGGAGAGTTGAGGCGGCCGGAGACGGCGACGATGGGTAGCGGCTCGAGGAAGAAGCCGGGCTCGGGGCGGTGTCGGGGAGGCTTCCGGGTCCCCGTGGCTCGGCGTAGAGGAAGAAGGGGAGGTCGGGGACACGCCGACGAGGTCGGAGGGACTCGGTGGCCGCGGCGGTGCAGCGTTGGGACGGAGTGGATCCGTCGCGGGAGAGAGTGAGGGAAGGCGACATCTAGGGGAAGCGGATCTGGGAGGCGAGTGGGCGAGTGGGAGAGAGGATCATGGAGGCGGGGGCGCTAGAGGCCTTAACCTCCCCGCGGCGACGCCGGCGAACTGGTCAGGGTCGACCTCGCCCCTGTAGCGACACGGTGCAGAGGAACTGGAAAGGAGGGAGCGACCAATGGAGGGGTCAGGTGGGCTTGCTGGGCGTTTTAGCTAATGGGCCACATGGCCCAGTAGATTAGTTTTGTTTTCATTTTCTTTTGTCTTTCCTTTTGTTTTCTATTTCATTGCTATTTTATTTTAAGTTCCTATTTATGTCAGTTTTATAAAAATGAACACTAGCACCTAAAGTTGGACTTATAATCATACTACTGCCACATTAATGCTCAACCCAAAAAATAGTTTAATATTTATAAAATTCAATAGGCATTTATTTAATAGTTTTAACTATTTTAATTATCTTAGATCCTTTATAAACATTTTAACAAAGTTTGGTTTCTCCACCATAACAAAGGTTGGTTCCACCATAATTACTTGTGGGCGACCCAGCGAGTGGCCACCGCTGTTCATGCGTAGATCATCAAATTACTGTTCCCCGATCTCGCTTTGCTGAGTGGTAACACGTCCAGTAACCACCGAATCTTTCTTCTTCCCCGTGCGGGCCTGGTGGAGGCGATCGACGTACTCAGTAAACTCCGGTACGTCTTCACTCGTGCGCTCTTTGCGCAGACAAACATTTCCCGCCGGTGCCCGCCGGCGCAACCAAGATCGGACAGTATCATGTGCATTGTCGTCGTGTGCCTACGCGGATCACATATATGTTATACATGCATGCATCATGCATCAACCACAAAAGTTGCACTAGTAGCGCACAAGTAAAAGAGATCGTGCATGCATAAACTAGATGCTTTCACTAGCACAATGTCCGTAAGTACGAGTATTGCCTAGAAGCACTGAAGTTTAATCTTTCATTTGTCATCCCAATTGTCAACTTGATTGCCTGCGGTCTTACCGGGAGTTTCGATTGGGTCCACGTGTTGCGCGGCCGGAGCGGCGGCGGTGCGTGCGAATGGCGCTGAGGTGGATTCACTGCACCCGATCCAAAGGCGTCGGCGTATCTCCCCGCTAATTCGCCGCGGTGACCGCGCTTTAGCCCACCGCGGCTGCCTTTTCCACCGGGCATTGTCCACCAAAAGCGAAAGGTGGCATTGCACGCACGGGAATAATCCCAGTGCGTGTTCGTGCGTGCGCCCATAAAATTCCATGCACGCACGCTCATTGACAAAACGGCGTGGTCGACCAGCTAGCTAGCCGCTGCTTTCCTTGACGCGCACGCACACCCCCGAGCTACCAGCAATGGCCGCTCTCGACCTGCGGCGGTGGCTTGTGGCCCTGCTCGTCGGTTCACTCGCCGCGGTCCAGGTGTGCAGCGGGGCGCCGTGGTTCTGGCCGCCGGGCGGGGACGACCCCGGGCGGCTGCCTGAGCTGGCGGGTGATGGTGGAGGCCAACAACGCCAAGTTTTGGCGCGCGGTGCCGGCGCCCTGCGTCGGGTACGTTTGGGCCTACATGTCCTGGGGCCAGTACGGCCGGGACGTGGGCAGCGCGGCCGACCAGATCGCCGCCTACGCCAGCCAGGCCCCCGCCGCCGGCGACGGCCTCGACGCCTGGGTCCTCGACATCGACGACACCTGCCTCTCCAACCTGCCCTACTACCAGGCCAAGCAGTTCGGGTGCGTGACGTGCACAACGCTTCCCGGCAGACCATGCATGCACTGAACTACTGACTGGATATTTTGTGGTGCTTGGTTGCGCATGCATGCAGGGCGTACGACCCGGCGGCGTTCAAGGCGTGGGCGAGCAGGGGGACGTGCCCGGGGATACCGGCGATGGTGACGCTCTTCTGGGCGCTCAAAGCCGGAGGCTTCAGGGTTTTTCTTCTCTCCGGGAGAGACGAGGAGGCTCTCGGCGCGCCCACGGCTGCCAACCTCGCCGCTGCCGGGTTTGCTGGCTACGACCGGCTCATCTTGAGGAACGATACGACACCAGTTAGGGCAGGTACAATGGTGCTATTTTAGAAGTGGCACATTGATGATGAGGAGAAGGAGAGAGAAGTCATAAAAAGACAAGAGATAATCTCTTAACATAATATGTCTCATCAGAGCATCTCCAACAGGCACCGAACGCGCCACGCGCAAAAAACAGCTTATAGCGCGTGCCCATCGCCTGGTTTGGCGCGGTGCGCAGCTCTAGCTCCAGCAACCGCGCTAAAATGCAGCGCGCGTGCGCCGCTCCAGCAGCGCGCGCGACACTCGCACAAACAACATATGTATTCAAAAACAAAAGCAAAAAGATCAAAACAAACAAAAATAAATAGTTCAATTTCGTTTATTACAACTCAAACAAACAGTTTGTCATTCAATACAACAAATGGTACAATTAAACACAACAAATAGTTCAACAATACAATAACAAACGCACAAATCATGATGCTCTTTGTCGTCCATTCCATGCCCACCACTTCTCAATGTGATCTTTCTGAAGATCATTATGCGCTGCGGGACGTCGAATGGCATGATAGGAGGCAACAAAACGGGCCACCCTTTCAGCCCTCCGTCGCACTCGCACGGGATATCCCAAGAGCTCATACTGAGAGTAGTCTACATCTTGGCCACGCTCATTCTCGATGATCATGTTGTGCATGATCATACAAGCATGCATTATGTACCAAAGCATCTTCTGATTCCAAAATCTAGCCGGTCCTCTCATAATAGCAAATTGGGCTTGCAAAATCCCCAAAGCTCTCTCCACATCTTTTCTAGCCGCCGCCTGAGCATTGTGGAAATCAAGTTCTTTCTTGCCTTCTGGCTTTTTCAACGGCTTGACAAAGGTTTGCCACTTTGGATAGATGACATCCGCTAGATAATAGCCATAGTTGTATGTACGGCCATTTTCTGCAAAATGCACCGGTGGCAACTCCCCATTTGCAATCTTACTCATCAGCTGTGATTGGTTGACAACATTGATGTCATTCAAAGATCCAGGCATTCCAAAGAATGCATGCCAAATCCAAGTCTCTTGATCGTCCACCGCTTCATGGATTATAGTGGAACCCTTTTTTTGGCTGTGGAATTGCCCATGCCATGCCTTTGGACAATTCTTCCAACTCCAATGCATACAATCTATTGAGCCAAGCATGTCAGGAAAGCCGCGAGTTTTGTTCATCGCCAAAAGCCTTGCGACGTCTTCAGCGTTGGGAGATCTCAAATACTCCTCGCCAAACACTTGCACAATTCCGACTGCGAAGCGCTTGACACACATGATGGCTTGGCTCTCACCCATAGCCAAGTGATCATCAACTAGATCAGCCGGTATACCGTATGCCAACATATGCAAAGCGTCTGTCACCTTCTGAAACGTGCTATGCCTGAGCTCTCCGGCGGCATTCCTCCTTTGCTGAAAAAAGCGGTCATGGCTCGCTAGTTTTTCTGCAATGCGCTTGAACAACTCGGTGCTCATCCTAAACCGGCGACGAAAATACGACTCGGGGTATGTGGGATTCTCTGCAAAATAATGCCTGATCAATATGTTGTGGGCATCGATCCTATCCCTCCCAATTTTCTGCCGACCCATAACCGAACCATCGTGCTTTGGTTTTTTATTAATATGCATAGCTAGGATCATTGCAAGATCCTCCTCCTCTTCCATATCAAATTCTTCTTCGGAAGAATCATACGACGAACTCATCTACAATGTTGAATACTATGCTATAAATAAAAAACTACAATCAACATGCACGAAATTCATGGCTTTTGAGCAATACATACTTTCTAGGCGTTTTGTCGAACACCTTGCGGGCGCCGAGCGGCAGCGAGCGCGCGGGCGCTGTTCGTCGGAGGACCAGCGCGCGCGCGGGGTGGCGGGACCAGAGGGGGCCGGAGAAAGCGCGCACGGGGCGGGGATAGGCCGGGGAAGCGCCGGAACGGTCGCCGGGTGGCGCGGTCGGCGGCGGCGGCGCGGCTGGATGGAGGGTGGGAGGTGCGAGCGAGCGCGCGAGAGTCCAGCGCGCGGGAGCGGGCGCAGCAAATAAGCGGCGCGCGATTGAGTTTCTGCCGCGCGCTGGACTACGTATACCGCGCGCGCTGTTTTCACGCGCCCGCTGGAGCAACTATTCCGGTTGCGCGCGCGCTAAAACGGGGAATTTTGCGGCGCGACGCTAGTTCGGCGTGCCTGTTGCAGATGCTCTCATGTTTTTAGAAATTATTAGTTATTGAAGATAAGGCTAAGAAATGACCCATTGTATACGTTTTTTATTATCTTTAAATTACATGTAAAATTTAAGATAAGAATATTTTATCAACCATTATACATGTCCTTATGTACGACTATTTTTTTAGCAAAGTGTACAACTACCTTTTTTTAGCAAAGTGTACGACTACCTAGGGTGTACATTCGAACCAGCCTAGCATCTCGACCCAGGCCAACAGAGTTTACAAAATGGTCCAGACTGCTCACACACGGCCCATACACTTCGGAACCGACAACACTAGTATTTTTTTTTACCACCCCTCAAAAACTAGTATTTTTTTACTTTATTTTTTTTGCCTAAAAGAACTAGTATTCTTTTCAGTATTGCTAAATCTTAGTCGATTGAGACTTGATTATGTCTCAATCGATATTATATTCGTGAGAAACATTGAGATCCATGCAATTTTTATTTATTTCTTACATGTTACTCCCTCCGTAAAGAAATATAAGAGCGTTTAGATCACTAAAATAGTGATGTAAACGCTATTATATTTGTTTACAGAGGGAGTATATCACTTGACTTAGCCACACCCATGTTATGTCACTTTCAGTGGATTGAGACCTAGCCGCACCTTTTTTTTCCTGGAACAGAACACTATATGTCTTTGACCTGTTTCAGGCCCCTTTTTGATCCATCTACGCCCAAGTTGAGAAAAAAAGACCGGAGTTACAAGTCATACTCCCTCAATTTCTTTTTTAGTTTGCATATAAAATTTACTCAAAGTCAAACTAAACAAAGCTTGACCAAGTTTATATAAAAAAATATCAACAACTACAATACCAAGGTCATATGGTATATGGAAATTAATTTGTGACGCATCTAATAATATTTATTTCATATTGTAAATATTGGTATATTTTCTTATAAAATTAGTCAAACATTATAAAGTTGGACTTTGATCAAATTTTATATGCAAACTAAAAAGAGACGAAGGGTGTTTTGTACCATCTTAAGGCATCGTACGTCACACTCACACATACAGTACGTACGTACGTACTGACACGGACCGTGCTGTTGGCTCCTTCCTCTCATGGCCATGGACTTGGTACATCGTATTATGGTACGAGAAAATTCACGTGCGAGTGACAGCACGCACAAAAACAAAAAAGATCAGGAAGGATATATTCTTCCAGTAGCAACTAGGAACTGAGCTAACTTCCAACCGCACAGTATATAATAGTCGTCCCTATTCTATGTATACGTGCACATTCTACGTTCCACTGAATCCTTGGACAGCGAGCTGACGTGAACTTGGTGAGACGCGACAGATACTTTGCCGTCCACATGTATCATTGCTCGGTATAGACATGCACGTACGGACCGATTGGCACCGTGTTTTGTCCGGTGGACGGATGTTGACGGTGCGGTGTGTGTGTGCATGCAGGAGCGCGGCGTACCGGGGGCAGAGCTCGGTGGTGTTCAAGTCGGCGGAGCGCCGGCGGCTGGTGGAGGAGGGGTACCGGATCCGCGGCAACGTCGGCGACCAGTGGAGCGACCTGCAGGGCGACTGCGCCGGCGACCGCGTCTTCAAAGTGCCCAACCCCATGTACTTCGTCCCTTGACCTCCCGAACAATGTAACATGTAAATAACGTGACGGCGACAGGCGCCGCACCGCTATATATATTTGTACAAAATGTTCAAGAATTTAAAAATAATTCATGATTTGATAAAATGTACAAGATTTTTTTAAAAAATTGTGAATTCGAAAAATGTTTAAATTATTAAAATAATTGATCGTGAATTTTAAAAAAGTAATGATTCAGAAAATGTTGAAAATTAAAAAATAATGTTCACAGATTCAAAAAATTGTTCGTACATTTTAAAAACTGTTTAAACAATTTCATGATTTTAAAAAATATTTATGAATTTTAAAGATTATTGCAAATTGAAATAAATAGTCGAAATGAAAAAAAGAGATAAAGAAAAAAAGTAAGAAAACAGAAAAATTGAACAGAAAGAAAATAAAAAATAAAAAAGAGAAAAGTCCGAAGGAAAAAATAAAGAAAAATAGAAAAAACAGTACACGGAGCCTATCCCAAAAAGCTATCTTAGGGTGTGGGATGCGGGCGGCAGCACGACGGTGGTACAAGTTTGCCGAGGAAAATCTCCAACAGCGTCGGGGCTAGAGGGCGGGGTGGCGGGGCTGCACCGGAGCGCCGCCCACCGCGGGGATGGTGGCCGGCAGTTCGGCTGGTGGCCCATGATGCCAGGTTGAAGAAGATGCGCTAGGAGGAAGAAAACGTTTGGAGATGGGAAATGACTTGACGGCCGTTAGATCAGAGATCACAATGTTCAACTGACCCGACTAATCCAAATTGAGATTTCAGTCGACTGGCACTGTCCCTTTCTTTCTATGGGAAATGATTACAATCATCCAGCCGATTTTACTCCTCCCGTCTGTCGCGTCGAGAGCCAACCACGTGTCGTCTCACACACAGAAAGTCTCAGGATTTTGCTACATCCTCAATGTTTCTGAAACGTGGGAAAAGATTCGATTCAGCCGACCGGTTGCTCGCACGTGTCCGCTGGATGAGTGGCCGTTAGATCAAAAGTTATCATATAGTGCTCAAAACCTACACGTGATAAATATCTAGAAACATCTCACAGGACAAAGCAACCTTAACCATTCATCAACAATTGGTCCCCAATCTCAATCAACACGAGGGAAAACTTCTTCAACATTATTTTTGTTGCGAAACTCCTTCCGCAACAACACCAATGTTGCAAAAAAGCAAAGATGAAAAAAAAAACTGCAATACAACTTGTCGTCCCTAATCCCTATCCTCGTGGCGAAAAAATTCTGCAACATCATTCTTATGGCGAAAGTCCTTCCGCAACAGCACCTATGTTGCAAAAAAAAATGAGGCAAACAAAATTCTGCAATACAACCTTTTGTAAAAGTTTCTGCAACAAAGGCCTCTGTTGCAAAAGAATTCTGCAACACCACCTTTGTTGCAATTATGAAAACAGCGATCGACCACTGATCCAACGACTGTCGAGACGGCGGATCTTTTAAAAAGATCCGCCGGCCGACGCGTAGCAGGCCCCCTCTTCTTCTATACGTTTATTTGAGGGAGAAAGGTTGCAATCTCTATTGAGGAACCACCGCAATGGCAAACAATCAACATCCACGTCTACAACTTCCGGCCCACTTAAGACGAGCCGTCGGGGCGGACGCTCCTCAGCACGAGCCGCACGCCGTGCTCCGGTTCCACGGTGAGCCTAAGCACCGGCGAGTGTAGGTAGTCTGGCGACAGAGCGGCCTCGAACCTGAAGAGCAGGAGCGAGAGCAGCACCTTGAGCTCGGCCATGGCGAAGCCCTGGCCGAGGCAGGTGCGCGCCCCGGCGCCGAACGGCAGGTACGAGTGCAGCTGCGGCCTCGCCGCGAACCGCTCCGGGTCGAACTCCCGCGCGTCGGAGCCCCATAGCTCCGCGTCCAGGTGCACCGTCGACACCGGCACGTAGATGTTGACGCCTCCGGGCACGCGCACGCCGCCGAGGGTGAGCTCCCGCAGCGCCTGGCGCGACACCACCGAGCCCGCCGGGTATAGCCGCAGAGTCTCATGGATGACCATCGTCAGCTGCTTCATTTTCTGGAGCGACGACAAGTCCGGCGCGGCGCCGCCGGCGAGGGCTTCCCTCGCCTCGTCCCTCACCCGGCGCTGCCACTCCGGGTGGAGAGCCAGGAGCATCATGCACCAGGCCGCCGTCACGGCCGTGGTCTCGTACCCGGCGAAGTATATGTTCTTGCAGTTATCGACGACGAAGTCCTCGGCCGCCGCGACGCCGACGCCGGCCTCGGCCTGGCCGCTGCGGAGCATGGCGTTGAGCAGGTTGTTCCCGCCGTCCGCCTCGCCGCTCTCCCTCACGACGTCCAGTATGAGCCGCCGCACGCGCCGGTTGAGCCTCCACGCCTCGCTGTTGCTCCTCGTGGGCAGGAACCTGAACCCGGTCATCTCGGCGAGCAGGTTCGGCCTGGACACCGTCTTCTGGAGCTCCCTGATCATGGCGAAGATCCTCTTGCCCTTGACGTAGCTGCTCCCGAAGCACGTCCGGGAGATCACGTCCCCGGAGTAGGCCCTCAAGTCGTCGTCGACCGTAAGCTCCAACACGCCGCCGTCGGTCCCGGCCACCCTGGCTTCCCACGACCGCACCAGCGCCCGCGCCGAGTCCACCATAAGATCCACCATACCCTAGGAATCGGAAGTCGAGCAGATGATATTCTGTTCATTTTGCCGTCAAAAACGAACTGGAACATCGACATTTGCAGTGCGTGGGACGTAAAGTGATGATATGTTACCATACCTTGACCTTTTCGGGGAAGAACTCGGGGGCGATGAGCTTCCGCTGGCGTGCCCAGGCGTCGCCGTTGGACTTGAGGATGCCGTCGCCGAAGAGCGGGTGGTGCGTGACCTTCATGTAGGAGCTCTTGCCGAGCTCGTCGGGCGAGACGGAGAGGCACACGTCGCGGACCACGGCCGGGTCGCTGGCGTGCAGGAACACCATGTTGCCCACGGAGTAGGTGAACACCGGGCCTAGCGAAAACAAACAGCAGAGCAAAAAAATCAGTATCCAGCAGATCAAAACCTTGGGCCTAACTTGTTCGCCGGTGCACGCATGTATGGCTCGGCTCCCGTATCCGTCCATGATCGTGATCGATCAGTCCTGGCATCCTCGGTCGTGCAGCGCCGGCCGGGCCGACTCTTTCGGCGTCGGGACAAAGGAGCGGCGCGAAAGGCGCGAGCCGCCCTCCGCCGCGCTTTTCGCCGGCGGGCATGCAGCGGCCCCGTCTCCTTGTCGCTTGCGGTTGCGGAGTATCGAGAGACGGGGACGGGGACGGCATCCTCATCGGCTCACGTCGTCAAGCCATGTTGGTCAGGGGAATCTGTGGTCGTCGATGGATGGCTTCTAGTACTCATCGGCTCATGGCCATCAACGAATGACTTGAGAATTTTGATTGCATGCTGGACATTCCGATCAGACACGCGACAACACTGTCGATGGGACCGGCTATATGTTATGTGAGTTGCCTGAAAATTTATTTTGTGAAGATTAACGGCCGTCCTTTTCTTCTTCTCCCTCCCTCCATTTTTTTCCCTTCAATCATTTCTTCCCCCCACAAAATCAAAATCAACATAACCAAACTGTATATAAATTCGGCCATTTTTTTGCGGGGGAAATTCGGCCAAGTTACATATAGCTATTGTGCTATCCAATCACATGACAACATGCGATGCATGCGTCGCATTGCTGCACGACCCAACGTTCGGAATATGTGTGTATTTCATCGCTCAGTAAAGCTAGGTCAATGATGGACCTCTATTGTTGTTATGTCGACTTTATTTCTACCAGACTCTGGTTTGTGGCTGTGTGCAGCCTAACTATGCAGACACCAGATGTTGCCGATGATGCTTTATATCCTCTTGATACTACATTTAGTTAATAAAATTGCTCTTTAGAGCATCTCCAACAGGCGCCCAAAATCTGCTCCGCGCGTTAAAATTCGGGTTTTCGTGGGGCCGGACAGCTTCAGCAGAAGCTGTAAAATAATGCGCGCGCAAAAAGGGTTGTGCGCGCGCTAAAAAACGCTACCGCATGCTGCAAATTTGAGACGCCGGACTGCGTGCGCTTCACAATTTATACGAGTTTTTTTGGGCGCGTGTTTTTGGGCATCTGATAAACCATTGTTGGGTCCGACGCGCTAAAAGTGCTACAGTGGCACGCTAAAACTATTTTAGGGTGCGAAACTTTTGTGCTCTTGTTGAAGATGCTCTTTATAGAGAAAAAATCCAAAAAATACAAGTGATTCTCATAGTTAACATTGAATTTCTGTAGGTGCAAGTATTCGCGCACTATGTGTGGTATGGTATTGAATTTTCAGTTAGTGCTTTACCCTGATGGAACGGATTGCTATCCCTGTAGAGACATGATGAAGCATATACCTAGCTACAACAGCCACCACTCCTACCTCAATTATTGTTTCTTCTCTAGAACGTATTGCCATTTCCGGCAGGCAGAAAGCGCACGCAACACCCAATTGTGGACATAGTTTTTGTTGCGATTTGATCGTCTCCATTATTGCCTTTATAGCTAGCTAGCTACTGTGGTGGTTAATCAACAAAGCAAAGCACCAAGCATATATTACATCACTGATCGATGCCCATCGATCAGCTGGAGATGATATATAAATTTTTCTTCTTCGATTAAAGACATGAGATATCCTGCTAGGTATTTTTTTTTCTCTCTCTCTCTCTTTCATGATGCAAGGAAGGTGAAAACTAGAGCGTCTAAAATGGAACGGAAGGTCGGTCTATCCAAGTATCCGTTCTTCACCTGGTTCATTTCTCTACATTTTTGCGTCAGTTTTGCACGCCTTCGAAAGACGCTACCAAACCAACAAGGATTATATATCCACTCACGCGGAAAAGGGAAATGGAAAGAAGAAGAAGCTGGCCACACATCGGTGCAGTTGATACCTAACCGCGTAGTACTGTTCGATCGAATCAAACTTTCAATCAGCAACGAACAACCGAGCTAATCATAATCCATGGCTGCGCGTACGAGATCAATGGAGAGATCGAGAGAGAGAGAGAGTGAGAGAGAGAGGACATATCTTTGCACCACGCACGCACGTACCGTACTCGTTCCTCCACTTCTCGTAGAAGGGAAACACGGCGGAGCGGTAGTCGTGCACGACGTCGCCGGCGTCGCGTGTCCGTTTGGCGGCGGCGGCGGCCTGCCTCATGTCGGCGAGGTTGCCGTAGGGAAAGGACGGCGGCGGCCCGCGGATCCCCTGCCTCCTCAGCGCGCGGCGGACCCTCTCCGGCGCCAGCCAGAGGATGCGGTAGAGGTAGAGCGCCAGGGCGCACGCCCCTACGCAGCACAGGCTCGCCGCCACGCCCACCGCCGGCGCCACCCCCATCCTCACCCTCTAGACTCTAGTAAAGCTCTCTCTCTCTCTCTCTCTCTCTCTCTCTCTCTCTCTCTCTCTCTCTATCTGTGCTGTGAGCGGGAGGGAATGAGTATATGATTGTGTATGCCGGTGCGGTGCGGTGCGGGTGACGACGCGGCGGCAAGCTAGTGTCCAAACCCCACCTTTAATCTTGGCCGGGAATACACATATAGCTGTGCGGCGCCGGTCGTCGTCACGTTATTTACATGTTATTATACATTGTTGGGTCGGTCAGGGGACGAAGTACATGGGGTTGGGCACCTTGAAGACGCGGTCGCCGGCGCAGTCGCCCTGGAGGTCGCTCCACTGGTCGCCGACGTTGCCGCGGATCCGGTACCCCTCCGCCGCCGGCGCTCCGCCGACTTGAACACCACCGAGCTCCGCCCCCGGTACGCCGCGCTCCTGCATGCACACACACACCGCCATCGGCTTACTCTCATCAGGACAAAACACACGGTGCCAATCGGTCCGTACGTGCATGGGGACATCAGAATTCAGGACCGCAAGCAGAGGGTTGTCGCGGTTCAGGAGCTTCACGTCAGCTCGCTATCCATGGATTCAGTGGAACGGAGAATGTGCACGTATATAATGTGTACGGCTAGTTGGAAGTTAGTTAATTCTAGTTGCTCCTGGAAGAATATATCCTCCTGATTTTTGTGTGTGTTTGTGCGTGCTGTCACTACCACGCGAATTTCTCGTACAGTAGTACGATGTACCACCAGGTCTGTGGCCATGAGAGGAAGACGCCAACAGCACGGCCGGTTTGCGTCAGTACGTACATGTGACATGCGACCGAACGTGCCTTAAGATAGAGTGACTGGTAAGGAGTAACTTGGCTTTTTTTTCTTTTGGCTAGGTCTCAGTCGGTTAAATGACATACTCCTCCCGTCCCAAAATTCTTGTCTTAAATTTGTCTAGATATAAATGTATTTAATACTAAAACATGACTTGATACATTTGTATTTAGACAAATTAATGTATTTAGACAAATTTAAAACAAAAAATTTGGGACGGAGTGAGTAACATGGAAGAATTTTTTTTTTGCAAGGATCTCAATATAAGATCTTATGAATCAGTCGACTAAGACTTAGCAAGACTACTTTTTGAGGGAGCTACTAAATCTTAGTTGATTAAGACTTCACGAAGTCTCAGTCAACACGTCAACCGTCGGATCCTTACTTGCTTCAAATTCACGTTGGGAGTGAGTTTGTCTCGTTTCGGCCTGTTAACGTATGCGTCATCCCGTTTTTCTTTTTCTGTGCATTTTCATTGTTTGGGCTCTTTTTTGTTCGCGGGCTACGGGTTGCACCGGGATGTGGAGTCTGCGGGGGCCTTTTTCTGCGTCTTTCCTGTGACTTGTTTCTTTCTCTTTTTATTTCAATTTCACTTTTTTTATGGTGCAGCGGTGGATGCCGGTGGTGAACTTACCTTTTTCTCTTTTCATGCGTTGTTATGTTTTAGGGAGACAAAATGGCCTCGTTCATTTTTTGCCAGTTGTAAAATTTTTTATTCCTTCTTTTAAAGCGTATTTTTTTTAAATACGAAGTACATGAATATTTTTTGTACAAATATTTTTATTCTCCTAAAATTTTCTATTTCTTAATTTTCTATTTTTTAGTAAATACACTAATACTTATAAAATTATACGAACATTTTTGTATAAATTTTCTTCTTTTTATAAATGTTTTTGTTATACACACATGTCCCATCTGCATGCATGCAATACACATGAGCCTTTTATTTGAAAGATATTGCTCGTTTTTCTATTTCTTAATTTTACATGATTGTAATTGTGGGCTCTTTGCAAAAAAAAATACTATAAGTGTGTGCAGTTTCATGTATGCCACCAGGCACACAACTGCAAGTGTCGCTAGCGACTGCATCTTCACGTCTTCAATGTGACTACAACTTGGTTGTGTTTTTTTGGAGAAGAGGCAGTTGCATGTTTGCCACCAACACGCAACGGCAAGTGTCGGCCACGACTACAATGGCATGTCTTCAACTTGACTGTAACTTGGTGGTCTTTGTCTAAAGGAGGCACTTGCATGTCTACCATCAACATGCAATTGCAAGTGTCGCCTCGGACTGCAATTGTATGTATTCAATGTGACTGCTACTTAGTGATGTTTTATCGGTGGGATGCATGTTTGGTACCAATACGCAACTCCAAGTGCCACCAACTACTGCAATTGCATGTCTTCAACGTGACTGCAACTTGGTGGTGTTTTGTCGGGTGGAGGGGTCAGTTGCATGTCTACCGCCAATTCGCAACTGCAAGTGTCACTTCGACTGCAATTGAATGTCTTTCAATGGGAATGCAACTCTGTGGTGTTTTGTCGGGAAGGGACGGTTCCTTGTCTACCGCTAGGCACACAACTGCATGTGTCGCCCCTCGGCTGCAACTCGGTGGGAGGGCAACAATTACATGTTTGCTACCAATACACAACTCCAAGTGCCACCAACGACTGCAATTGCATGTCTTCAACGTGACTACGACTTGGTGTTGTTTTGTCGGGTGGAGGGGTCAGTTGCATGTCTACCGCCAATACACAACTACAAGTGTCGCTTCGACTTCAATTGCATGTATTTCAATGGGAATGCAACAATGTGGTGTTTTGTCGGGAAGGGACAGTTCCATGCCTACCACCAGGCAAACAACTGCATGTGTCGCCCCTCAGCTGCAACTCGGTCGTATTTTGTCGGGAAGAACAGTTGCATGTATGTCACTAGGCATGCAACTCCAAGTGTCATTCCTGATTGCAACTGCATGTCTTCAATTCGACTGTAACTATAATGTTTTCTGTTGGGTAAGGTGGCAGTTGCATGTCTGCTACTAGGCATTCAGCTACAAATGTTGTTCCCGATTGCAACTGCATGTCTTCAATTCGACTGCAACTCTGATGTTTTTGTCGGGTAAGGGGGTAGTTGCATGTCCGCTGCTAGGCATTCAGCTGCAAGTGTCACCCTTGACTCCAACGACATGTCTTCAACGTGAGTATAACTCTGTGGTATTTTTGTCAGGAGGGCTAGTTGCAACTCTATCACTAGGCATGCAACTGCATTTATCGCCCTGACTGCTATTACATGTCTTTAAGTCGACTATAACTCAGTGATGTTTTCTTAGGGAATGGGGCAATTGCATGTGTGCCACTAGACATGCAACTGTAAGTGTCTTCTCAAGTGCAACTGCATCTCTTCAATGGCTCTGCAACTTTGTGGTGTTTTCTCGAGGGAGCAACAGTTGCATGCCCGCCAATAGGAACACAACTGCAAGTGTTGCTCCAGCTAAAAAAAGTGTTGCTCCAACTACAGCTCGATGGTGTTTTTGTGGACGGACAATTGAATGTCTGCCACTAGGCCTACAACTGCAAGTGTTGCCTAATCGCAACTATATGTCTTAAACGCAATTTCAACTCTGTGGTGTATTGTCGTGGGAGGAGGCAGTTGCAAATCTGCCACCAGGGATGCAACTGCAAGTGTTTCCCCAACCGCAATTGCATGTCTTTAACATGACTACAAACTTTTATGGTGTTTTGTTGAGGGGGGGGGGGTCAGTTGCATCTCTGCCAGTAGCATGCAACTACAAGTGTCTCCCCTAACCGCAACTCTAGGACATTTTGTCGTGGAAAAGAGGTAGTTGCATGTCTGCCAGTAGGCCCACAACTACAAGTGTTGCCTCCAACATCAATTGCATTCGTTCAGATGTCGGCTGGATAAGATTTAATTAAGTCTCAATCGGTTGTGTCGTATGCACACCCTATTATTAACTTTGTTTAATTTTCTTTTCCATTTAATGCTCTTTATTTTTATTTTTATTTTTATTTTTGTGTTTTGCTTTTTGTTATTTTTCTCTGAGAAAAGGTGTTTGGATTTTTTTAAACATGCCACAACAACCTAGTTGCATGTCTGCACCTTATGTGCAATTATATATGATGGGCATCTTATTTTGTTAGTTGTACCATTGTCAATTTTTGAATGATAGTGAAAATACAAATACACGAGTAAACCAATGCTCGGCCTAACCCAACCCAGGAAAGAAAATATTGCACGAGGAATATTTTTAACTAATATTAAAAGTTTTCTAGTTGCTTGATATTTTTCTCAAATACATGATGAATCGTTATAAAAATACACAAACACATTTTTTATTTTTCTCTCTCTAAATTGATCTTAATTGGTTATAATTCATGGAATCAAAAAATAAAATAACAAAACTTAAGTAGGAAATGATAAGAAAACTAGTCACAACAGATAGAAACCAGACGTTAAGAAAATTGTACGTACAACCCCTTTTTTAGGGGTACCTACAACAACTAATATACCCGGCTGATGCACTACACGAGTCGATGAGTCAGCAGCGCCGAAGAAAAATGTTGCACGAACTCGCTGGCCCAACGCTAATACGAACAAAGACATGGCCAGCCTAAAAAGCACGAACTCGCCGTTTTCACCATTGGATTCCTCGCGTTGAGATCTTCAAAACTAGATCCATGTTGATAAATTTTGATGAACTTTTTTTTCACAAAAAAAAGATAAAAACCGAACGAAAAAATAGAACCGAGAGCACGTTTCTTTTTCTTTCCAACAGAGACATGGCCGTGCTTTTCGCGAAAGCACAATTATACCTCTCGCGGAAGAAAAATTTCCGAAAGACACGTCCGTGCCTCTCAGAGAAGCACAACCATGCATGTCGCCACCCCATCCACCTCCACCCTCTCTAGTAAAGCTCTCTCTCTGTATCTGTGCGCGGGAGGGAATGGGAATCGTTGGGAAGGAAGAAGATATGATTGTATACACCGGTGCGGGTGATGCGCGCGGCGGCAGCTAGAGTCCAAACCCCACCTGGGGCGGGGATACACGGCCACCCCATATATATAGCGGTGCTTCGCCGTCACGTTATTTACATGTTACATACTAGTAGTACATTGTTTGGGCGGTCAGGGGACGAAGTACATGGGGTTGGGCACCTTGAAGACGCGGTCGCCGGCGCAGTCGCCCTGGAGGTCGCTCCACTGGTCGCCGACGTTGCCGCGGATCCGGTACCCCTCCTCCACCAGCCGCCGGCGCTCCGCCGACTTGAACACCACCGAGCTCTGCCCCCGGTACGCCGCGCTCCTGCATGCACACACACACCGCACCGTCAACATCCGTCCACCGGACAAAACACGGTGCCAATCGGTCCGTACGTGCATGTCTATACCGAGCAATGATACATGTGGACGGCAAAGTATCTGTCGCGTCTCACCAAGTTCACGTCAGCTCGCTGTCCAAGGATTCAGTGGAACGTAGAATGTGCACGTATACATAGAATAGGGACGACTATTATATACTGTGCGGTTGGAAGTTAGCTCAGTTCCTAGTTGCTACTGGAAGAATATATCCTTCCTGATCTTTTTTGTTTTGATGCGTGCTGTCACTTCTAAATTTTTTGTCTTAGATTTGTCTAAATACGGATGTATCTAATTATGTTTTAGTGTTAGATACATCCGTATCTAGACAAATCTAAGACAAGAATTTTAGGACGGAGGGAGTACGATGTACCAAGTCCATGACCATGAGAGGAAGGAGCCAACAGCACGGTCCGTGTCAGTACGTATGTGTGACATACGACCCAACGTGTCTTTTTCTTTTCTTTTTTGCGGTTGCGGGGCGAACGTGTCTTAAGATAGTGTGACTTGTAACTCCGCTCTTTTTCACAACTTTTCATGGTATGGCTTTAGTACAAAATCGTGCATGAAACTGGTCAAAGATGGTGTTCTGTTCGAGTGTTGCCGAAAAAAATAAGGACTGCTATTTTTTGAAAGATCCGCCCCGTAGCGAGCCATCGAATCTGACAATTGTAGTTTGCAAGAGATATCTTGTTGCCGAGACAGAGAGGTTATGTTGCGGTTTTTTTTGCAACATAGATTGTGTTGCTAGATTTATTTTTGCAACATGAGTCGTGTTACAGAATATTTTTGCAACATAGGTCGTGTTGCGGGATTTGTTTTGCAACATACTCCCTCCGTCCGGTGAAGAGTGTACATCTAGAAATTTTAGGACAAATTATGAAGTTAAGTAAATTATGCATTGGAAATGTTCAAGACACCATCTCTCCCCTCTTTAATTACCCAACCCCCAATGAGCTAAGTGCATGTAAAAACTAAGAAGACCATGTGTAGATTGCTATTGGTCTTGATTACTGTGTGATGAGAGAGAAGTATTTTTTTTTATTTTAAAGTGCATTGAAAAGATAGAAGTACACTCTTTTGTGGACAAATTTTGAAGCCAAACGTACACTTTTCACCGGACGGAGGGAGTAGGTCAGATTGCGGGATTTAGCCATTGCAGGGCTCTAGCCCTTGGTCGGTTTGCAACAAGGGACTAGTAGCAAAACCTTTTTCTGAAATAATGGACCAGTTGGATAACGTGGACATGAAGGGTTGACTCCGGACCGTATGACAGAGCCCATCCACCGGGCATGGAGTGGCTGGACGCTCGCATAAGATCGGTCGGTCGAAAGGAATCATTTCAAAAAAAAATAGTGTTTTCTGTTCAGCCTGTATGGACCTTTTTTTTTTTTGAGAATCAAAGGTATGGACCATGGGTAAGTGACCATTTGGTGAGCAGTGGTTGGCTGGGCCGATTCGATCAGCCTAGCTAGTCGTACGTAACCCTAAAAAAACTAGTCGTACGTACCTCAAGATGAGCCGGTCGTACCCGGCGAAACCGGCTGCGGCGAGGTTGGCGGCCGTGGACGCGCCGAGAGCCTCCTCGTCTCTCCCGGAGAGAAGAAAAACCCTGAAGCCTCCCCCTTTGAGCGTCCAGAACAGCCTCACCATCGCCGGAATCCCCGGGCACGTCCCTCTGCTCGCCCACGCCTTGAACGCCGTCGGATCGTAAGCCCTGCATGCATGTCAGATCAGACGCCACAGCACAACCAATCACTACATGCATGGTTGTGTACGTCACCGTCACGTACCCGAACTGCTTGGCCTGGTAGTAGGGCAGGTTGGAGAGGCAGGTGTCGTCGATGTCGAGGACCCAGGCGTCGAGACCGTCGCCGGCGGCGGGGGTCTGGCTGGCGTAGGCGGCGATCTGGTCCGTCGCGCTGCTCACGTCCCGGCCGTACTGGCCCCAGGACATGTAGGCCCAGACGTAGCCGACGCAGGGCGCCGGCACCGCGCGCCAGAACTTGGCGTTGTTGGCCTCCACCATCACCCGCCAGCTCAGGCAGCCGCCGGGGTCGTCCCCTCCCGGCGGCCAGAACCACGGCGCCCCGTCAGCCACCTGGACCGCGGCGAGGAGGCCGACGAGGAGGGCCACAAGCCACCGCTGTCGCACGGTGAGAGCGGCCATTGCCGGAGCTACGGCTACCTCACTAGCCCTGGGGTGTGCGCGCGCGTCAAGGAAAGCAACGGCTAGCTGGTCGATCGACCACACCGTTTCGTCAATGAGCGTGCGTGCATGGATTTTTATGGGCGCACGCACGCGAACGCACTCGGATGATTCCCGTGCGTGCAATGCCACCTTTTGCTTTTGGTGGACAATGCCCGGTGGAAAAGGCAGCCGCGGTGGGCTAAAGCGCGGTCACCGCGGCGAATTAGCGGGGAGATACGCCGACGCCTTTGGATCGGGTGCAGTGAATCCACCTCAGCGCCATTCGCACGCACCGCCGCCGCTCCGGCCGCGCAACACGTGGACCCAATCGAAACTCCCGGTAAGACCGCAGGCAATCAAGTTGACAATTGGGATGACAAATGAAAGATTAAACTTCAGTGCTTCTAGGCAATACTCGTACTTACGGACATTGTGCTAGTGAAAGCATCTAGTTTATGCATGCACGATCTCTTTTACTTGTGCGCTACTAGTGCAACTTTTGTGGTTGATGCATGATGCATGCATGTATAACATATATGTGATCCGCGTAGGCACACGACGACAATGCACATGATACTGTCCGATCTTGGTTGCGCCGGCGGGCACCGGCGGGAAATGTTTGTCTGCGCAAAGAGCGCACGAGTGAAGACGTACCGGAGTTTACTGAGTACGTCGATCGCCTCCACCAGGCCCGCACGGGGAAGAAGAAAGATTCGGTGGTTACTGGACGTGTTACCACTCAGCAAAGCGAGATCGGGGAACAGTAATTTGATGATCTACGCATGAACAGCGGTGGCCACTCGCTGGGTCGCTAGTGATCACTCCCACGCAGCATCGACCGATTAGTGGCATGTACTAGCTGCTAATTAATCAATTGTCTACGACTACAGACGCCTATGGTAGTACTCCTAGCCACAGGACAGTCGGACTACAAGGCCATATCTTGCAGATCCTGGTGGCTACGTCGAACTGGGACATGCATCTAGGCTAGATTGTATATGTCAGAAGCTGAATGTGCGCGAAGTTTCGCGTGGATGCAACAGCACTGGATATGGTCGAGGACGAGGAGTCAGCTATCAGCGCGCGCATGCAATGCAAGTTGGGGCGATGCGTCGATGTTGAAAAGGAATAAGACTGTTGGTGCCTTGAGGCGGAGGTATATGCACAGAGGAAGGTTGTGATGCCAGACTTAACCACCAGAGGATAGCTTAGCAGCTAGGAATCAAAATCCACAAGACTTTGCAGGAATAGGGTGCCCTTTTCAGACGAATAGCTGCCGGACTTTCTTTGCCACCGGGCAGAATAGCTGCCGAACTAATGCTGCCATGACGGCTACTCCCTCCATTTCTAAATATAAGTCTTTCTAGAGATTTCACTATGGACTACATACGGATATATGTAGACATAGTTTAGAGTGTAGGTTCACTCATTTTGCTTTGTATGTAGTCTCTTATTAAAATCTCTAAAAAAACTTATATTTAGGAACGGAAGGAGTAGAATACTGTGGTACATGGGGTGTAGGAAGCATACAAGCGATATAGTTAGGAGATGGCGACTCCTCCTGGCGATCAGAGATGGGCGGCGCATCTGGTTTCCGACCTCCACACGCCGGCCCTCCTGGTCTTCTGGCGAGGGACAATAGTCCGGCGAGCCCGTGCCCATCGTTTGCTACTGATCAACGACCGGGGCGGCTGCGGTGACGCGAGAGCGGTGCGGCTGGGGGAGGAGATCAAGGAAGGTATGCAGATCTCATTCTCCTGCCATGTGGCGCTTGTAGGCGGGAAACAGTGCAGGAAGAGATGCGGCGCGGGGGTCGAGGGAGAGGAGAAGGCGAACCGCTATGGCGACTGTGACATAAATGCGGGAAGTGGGGTGGAGACCTCATCCACCATTCCCACAGACGCAGAGAGGCAAAAATCCCCTTCCTCTTCCACGTTCGCTCATATGGCTTTGGGTTTCGATGGTGTCCTGGAAGAGATCGCTGGAGGCGGAGATGACGGTGATTGCAGAGGGAGACGAAGGGAAGATGGAGAAGATGAGGGAGATCCTCTCGTGGTTCCCGAAGAGGGAAGATCTGAAGGCGGCGACGGCGCAAGGATTTCGGATGCTCACAGAAGAAGAAGACACCCGCCTGTCTCCAGATGGTGGGGCGGTGGGGCCACTGCGGATGATGTTGTGGGCGATGGAGGAGGCAATCTCCGATGACCCCAAGTACACTATTAGGAAAAGGGCTATAGATAATATGAACATTAATGGCGCACCACACATGTGGTGCGTCACTACTATATACTAATGACGCACCATGTGTTGGTGCGCCATTAGTGTCCAAATACTAATGGCGCATCACATCCACGATGCGCCACTAGTATTTTTTTTCTTTCAAAAATACTAATGGCGCATCAGGGGATAGTGCGTCATCACTAGTTTTAACTAGTAATGGCGCCCCAGTAAGAGATGCGCCATTGCTATCTATACGTATGGCGCACCCCTACCAGTGCGCCATTGCTATCACCCCTTATCCCCTCCCTCTAGTCACGTTCTCTCCCCTCCCCTTCCTCCTGACACACCCACCCACCTCCCTCGACTTCGATCTAGATCGGGAAGCCCCGGCCGCATCTTCCCCCGCCGCCCATGCCTCACCCCCCTCTCGTCGCCGCCGCCAGCCTCCGCTGCCGCCTACTCCTCTCCTCGCCGCTCGCCTCCTCCCGCACCCGCCGCTTCCTCCCCCGCGCCATGGAGTCCTCCTCGTCCCCCGCGCCATGGAGCACGCAGGTGAGCGACGCGACCCAATCGGGGCTTGCTAGCTTCGTGGAGTGACACTAGTGGTGCGTGTTGGGCTGGGTACTGTACTGATGGCTGCCGCATTCGTGCGGCAGGGTGGGGATTGATGTGCAGGTGGTGCAGCGGTGGGGGAGTACGAGGAGGTGCTGGACCGGCTCTCCTCGCTCATCACGCAAAAGGTGCGCGCGGACACCGGCAACCGCGGCAACCAGTGGGACCTCATGGGCCGCTACCTCCAGGTACTCCGTGCCCTCCTTCATCCTCCTCCTCAACTGCGATGTGGGTGGGGATGTGTTGTCTGATCTAGAGGGCGGATTTGGTTCTTCAGATTCTGGAGCTGGAGGAGCCCATCGCGCGGATGAAGGTCATCCATGCTGCCGGCACCAAAGGTCATCCATGTTGCGCGACCCGATCGGGAAGCTCCGATTCATCTGCCCACTAGTCAGGTACGCCCTCTCCGCTCCGCCCCGATTCACCCCTTGCATCAGTACGACGATGCCCTAGGGAGAAAGGGAGCTCAAGGCAGAACCAGGGCTCTTGCTCGTGGATCCTTCCGTACCCCCAGTCCCGATCCCGTGTATGGCGTAGAAATCCCTCTGCCCGTCTGCCGTAGCCGAGCTCCACAGTTGGTCGCTTGGTATTTTTGAAGGGGGGAATGAAGGTTTCAGTTGATAGATGATTTATTTCTGGTCTTATGATCCAATTGCAACAAGTGCAGTAGACAGTTAATTGATGATCCTCATCTTGTGTAGCTCGCACTCCATAGCAGGGAAGGGGGAAGTAAATTCAACTGAGTCCAGCACCTGAAATCGTGTATCTACCACTACCAGGTTTCATTTTGGCAGATGTGAATAATATAAAATCCATGAAATTCAGTCCAAGAATCTGGTCCTGTTCTGCACATAGTGCAGACACTAAGCAGCCATGGAAGAATTCCACATGCTATTATGACTATATATACACCAAATCTTGTAACCTCTGGATAGTGCAGCTTAGTTTTAGTACATCGGCTGCATCAGACTTCCAGTAAGCATTGCCACGACAAATGAATTGCGTCGTGTGTCTTTGAAATACTTGTGCAGAGCGATGCATATAGGTTTTTCCGTTTCAAGCTATATGTATTGCATTCAAAGGGAGCTCTCTTTCCTGCACGCAGCTCAAGCAAAACAAATAAACAACGGAGTTAAGCAGGGTCTACACTGTTGCGTTTGTTTCTTAAAAAAATTACCTAAGATATCTCACACATATCTGTAGAGAATAGTTTTGCAATAGCAGTCTTCTTATTTCCAACGGTTTTAGCTTGAATGGATCTCCCTCTGTCTCTGTTTCTGGGACAGCAGCAGCAACAACCTAGTCGTCGTTGTCGTCGTCGATGGCAGGGTTGTAACCTCACTGTCACGCTAATGGACGCAAAAAAGAAGAGTGGTAGTACTATCAATGGTTCAGTCAGCGCCTCAACAACGTCTACACTACTTCTGGTATTGTTTTTCAGTAGCTTTTTTCTGCACCTTTTTCTTTCAGTTCTTAGTGTTGCTTCCCCATGAACACATTTTTTTAATTTGACTATACATTCAAATGAAGCCTTTGTTAACTACACACTCCAAAATTCAGTTAACAGTAGCCTAACTGAATTTTCTGTTTCTGAATTTATAAACTCACTTTATATTCATTTTATAAATTAACAGTAGCTTCAAAATTAAGTATCATTCACATGGATCAACTGTTATTTTATTTTATGGAGGATAAAGTTCAGATCATGAATAATGGCATTACAAGTGAACTTGGCACAATTACACATGTCCTGAACCTCATAGAATCTGACACTAGCAAGTCTTCATTGGCATGCAAGTACTACTTTTACATTGTCATGACAGGAACAATTAATTTGACATGTATCATTGGTACTGCTAAAACATTTCATTCATTTTTCAACAAATTTGGTGAAGACCACTTCATATGTATTTTGCATATATGAATTATCTCCTGTTGCTTTCTAAGATGTTAGTTCTTTCAGTTCTAGCCATCCTATCTTTAATTCCTGGCTGCTGGACTACCTACAGGAAAACGAGTTCATCTGCGGCAGCTATCGCTGTGAGCAGTCCGTCCATGACGCGCTCCGCAGCGTCTTCGCCGGGCACAACGAGATCCTCAACGTCTGGAGGTAAGTCACCGGCCATCTGTTTCCTGATGAATTTTCTTTCTAACTCAATGTGATCGGATCTGACTAGTACGTTCAGCTTTACTCTTATTTTCTTTTCAAATAGTACTAGTAGTCTATATTCCAGCTGTGAGACTACCTGTAGCCACTTGAACCGATGAGAATTCTTCAAGCCTACCTATAGCCACTTGAACAAATGTCTATCTCAGATCTGCTCATCTAAAAAATCCAAGTGGAGTAGTATACTGGTAGTATAGTATAATAATATTGTCAAAAGGTAAATGCCCTGATTATTTAGCTCTGTCAGATAAATACTCGTCGAAAGTGGGCTCCTATCAAAATTCATTTCCATTATAATCTTACTCATACAATATTCACACCATGTAATTCTGGAAATATATGCTCATATCTAGTTCTGCATAAAAAATGGTAGTATTGACATGTTATAAATAGTTTGTTTGTGTTTCTGTTTATTTTGTTACATTTTGCAGGGATAAAGTGAAGAAAAAGAAGAAAAGATTACTAGAAGATTAGTTTTAGGATTTTCTTTTATTTCCTTGCAATTTTCCTTTTATTGGAAACTTGCAAAGACATTGTAATATTCTTACTATAATAAAAATTATGATTCTATTTCATTTTTTGTTTTTAAATTATTTTTCCTTATAGGTTGTTTTCTGTAAATTTAGATTTTTTTTGTTTTCCAAATACATTACTAGTGGCACATTTAAGCCCTTATTAGTGGTGCACCTTCCTTTATTACTAGTGGCGCACCTATAAGGTTATTAGTGGCGCACCTGAAAGGAATACCAGTGGAGCACCGAATGGTATACTAATGGCGCACCACATGGTGCGCCATTAGTATCTGGTATACTAATGGCACACCTGTGGTGCGCCATTAGTATATAATACTAGTGGCGCACCAGTAGTGCGCCATTAGTAGGCAAAACTGGTGTGCCACTAGTAGGTCTTTTCCTAGTAGTGGTAGGCGCTGAAGAGGAGAGAATTCCGATCCAAGCACGCCGTCCCCGACCGCCACTCATAAGGAAGACAATCAAAAATAAATCATGCTCCAACATCATAGCATAACGAGAGACTATATGTGCATGCTTCGGGAATCATAAACCTTAACACCAATATTCCTACTAGAGCATAATTACTCATCAACATAACTCACAAATCACATCATCATATCTCAAAACTATTACTAAGAATCAAGTTTATTTTGTCCAGTGATCTTCATGACATTTTTCTTTTCTTTATCCTTCTTGGATATCTATCACTTTGGGACTAATTTAAATGTGTTGCTTTTCATAAGCTCAAACAAATATATGAAGATCATGAGCATACTATTTCTTTCTCTCAAAATAATTTAAGTGAAGCAAGAGAGAATTTCTTCAAAATTTTACTAACTCTCAAATAAATCTAACTGAAGCAATAGAGCATTTCTTCAAAAATACTAAGCACACCATGCTCAAAAAGATATAAGTGAAGCACTAGAGCAAGTTCTAGCTCATAAAAGATTTAAGTGAAGCATAGGGAGCAATTCTAACAAGTCATGACATAATTTTGGCTCTCTCAAATAGGTGTCTCCAACAAGGATTGATGACTTAAAATACAAAATAAAACAAGCAAAGACTCATATCATACAAGACGATCCAAGCAAAACACATATCATGTGACGAATAAAAATATAGTCTCGAGTAAAATACCGATAGTTGTTGGAAGAAACCGGGGATGCCACTGGGGGCATCCCCAAGCTTAGTTGGTTGCTAATTCTTGGATATTAGCTTGGGATACTGGGGCATCCCCAAGTTTAGGCTCTTCCATCCTTCCTTCATCCATCGTAAGATAAGCCAAAACTTGAAAACTTCAATCACACAAAACTCAGCAAAATCTTCGTGAGATCCGTTAGCATAAGAATAATAAACCACTACTATAAGTGTTGTATCAAACCATTCCATATTTTTTGTATTATATCTACGGTATTCCAACTTTTCTATGTCAAAAACTCATCAAAGAAAACCATAGAGCCATCAAAATAAGCACACAACACAAAGAAAATAGAATCTGTCAAAATAGAACAGTCTGTAGAAATCTGACTATTTCGAATACTTTTGTAACTCCAAAATTCTGAAAAATTAGGAAGACCTGATAAATTTGTATATTGATCTACTGCAAGTGGGATGGGTATTTTATCGCTCTCTGGTAAAAGATGAAAATTAATTTCATGAGCGTAAAAGTTTCTGTTTTTTCAGCAAGATCAAACAACTATCACCCAAGAAGATCCTAAAGGCTTTACTGGGCACAAACAAAAACTAAAACACAAAAAACACAAAAACACAATCATAACAGTAGCATAATTGTGCTAACACACAGGAATAGAAAGCAAAAAGCAAAAATAAAATTTATTCATTGGGTTGCCTCCCAACAAGCACTATAGTTTTACGCCCTTAGCTAGGCATAAAGCAAGGATTTAAGTTCTGTCATCTTTGTTCCTTGGAAATAAAAGAGAAAATTTTCTATCAATGGCATTTAATTTTCTATCTTGTGAAAGCACATGGCCATTGATAGCGGAGGAAAGATTAAGCAAGTTACGAAAATTCGTATCTAAACTAACCTTCATCTCTTTAATTATTTCATTTTGATAAAAGTGCATAAGAGTAGTTGATTCAACATTTTCTCCTTTAGGTGCCGAAATATGGCTTTCATCTTTTCATAAGTATCAACAACATGCCCTTCAAGAAAACCGTTTCAAATATAGAATCTAAAACTTGCTTGAAGGAAGAAGGTAAACCATCATAAAAACTTTTCAAGTATATCTCTATCTGATATTGGGGCACATAGCTAGCTCGAATTCTCAACAACCTATCCGAAGCATCTTTCAAAGATTCATCAAGTAAATAACGAAAAAATTCGGGATCATATTCATCACAGTGGTTAAGATTTTCCTTAACAATCCCGGTAGATCCTTCCATAACATCATTGTTTATGAGCTTAGAGAGGACAGAGGGGCTATCCAAAGCATTAAGACTAGGGAGAAAACCCCTAGCTCTTTTGAGATCAGACATGGCGAGAAAATGGTGATCAGAAAAGGAGGGGCGAATAAAATGGCAATTTTTTGTGAAGTGGGGAAGAGGAAAACGAGAGGCAAATGGCAAATAATGTAAATTGCAAGGAGATGAGATTTGTGATTAGGAAGCTGGTTATGAAGAAGATCCTCCCCGGCAACGGTGCCAGAAATCTTTTTGATTGCTCTCTGACTATAGCGCCAGAAAAGCTCATGTCTGCTAGGACTACGTCGGTATTTCCTCAAAGAGGATGGGATGATGCAGCACAACGATGGTAGGTATTTCCCTCAGTGAAGAAACCAAGGTTATTGAATCAGTAGGAGAACCAAGCAACACACCGTAAACATCACCTGCACACAAATAACAACACCTCGCAACTCGACGTGTTAAATGGGTTGTCAATCCCTTTCGGGTAACGATGCCAGAAAATTGTAGTAAATTGAAATAATAGATCGCAAATAGAATAAAGTGCAGCAAAGTATTTTTGTATTTTTGGTTTAATAGATCTGAATAAAAATTTGCAAAGGAAAAATAGATCGCAAGCAAATATATGAGGAAGAAGACCCGAGGGCCGTAGGTTTCACTAGTGGCTTCTCTCGAGAAAGATAGCAAACGGCGGGTAGATAAATTACTGTTGGGCAATTGATAGAACCTCAAATAATAATAATGATATCCAGGCAATGATCATTACATAGGCATCACGTCCATGATTAGTAGACCGACTCCTGCCTGCATCTACTACTATTACTCCACACATCGACCGCTATCCAGCATGCATCTAGTGTATTAAGTTAATGGAAAAATGGAGTAATGCAATAAGAACTATGACATGATGTAGACAAGATCCGTTTATCTATTGCATAGATATAGATCCCTTCTTTTTATCCTTAGTGGAACGATACATACGTGTCGGTTCCCTTTCCGTCACTAGAATCAAGCACCGTAAGATCGAATCCACTATCGGGCACCTCTTCCCATTGCAAGATAAATAGATCAAGTTGGCCAAACAAAACCCAAATATCGGAGAAGAAATACGAGGCTATAAGTGATCATGCATATAAGAGATCAAAGAAACCCAAATAACTTTCATGGATATAAAAAGATATGACTGATCATTGATAACCCACAAGTATAGGGGATCAATTGTAGCCTCTTTTGATAAGTAAGAGTGTCGAACCCAACGAGGAGCTAAAGGTAGAACAAATATTCCCTCAAGTTCTATCGACCACCGATACAACTCTAAGCACGCTTAACGTTCGCTTTACCTAGAACAAGTATGAAACTAGAAGTACTTTGTAGGTGTTGTTGGATAGGTTTGCAAGAATATAAAGAGCACGTAAATAAAAAGTAGGGGCTGTTTTAGGTAAAGAAGCAATAAAGTTGGTATAACGAGTGTGGAAAAGTGGTGGTAGGAGTTGCGAAATTGTCCCTAAGCAATTGACTACTTTACTAGACCGATAGCAAGTTTTATGTGGGAGAGGCCACTGCTAGCATGTCATCCCTGACTTGGAATTCTATGCACTTACGATTGGAACTATTAGCAAGCGTCCACAACTACTAATGTTCATTAAGGTAAAACCCAACCATAGCATTAAGATATATTGGTCCCCCTTCAATCCCGTATGCATCAATTTCTATGCTAGGTTGAAGCTTCTGTCACTCTTGCCCTCCAATACATAGTCCTATCAACATACAACTAACCCTATGGTGTGATCAATGCGCGCGCTCATATGATGGGCACCAAAGGACAACAACATAACCACAAGCAAATTAAATCAATCATAGTAATTCACCAATCACCGATAGGACAACGAAAATCTACTCAGACATCATAGGATGGCAACACATCATTGGATAATAATATGAACCATAAAGCACCATGTTCAAGTAGAGGGTACAATGGGTTGTGGGAGAGTGGACCGTTGTAGATAGATGGGGG